AATATTGAATTATTACATGAATGTATTCTATCAATGAATGTTTATTTTGGATCATTTTTTTTAAACCGAATAGTATAATATGATTAGTAATAAACATCAGATCCAATATAATATTATCAAACAATATACCATGACTACATTGTATGATAGTTGACAGTATCCTGAATTTCGCGAACTGGAAGTTCATACAGATAAGGAGTTGTAAGAAAGTTCTTGTCGTTCCTGAACGCCACCAAGACGACAAGAGAGCACTTTACTTCCGTTCTTCTAAGAGCCCTTCAATGGAGTCTCGTCATTGCTGAACTTTGGAATTCACCTCCCCCCATAACCAAATGCTATGAACAGGAGTTTCTCTGATAGGAAATATTGATGTTTACTAATTGAAACCTATATGGATATGAATTTTAAATTGGTTACAGAAATTATGAGAACTGTTAAATAAGCATTTACTTACATAGGCAATGTTCAGAGCGTACAGATCTCGTGTCATATTTTTTTTCAGCTTATATATTGAACGTGGGTATATCAGAAACTGAAACAGATATTCATACAGTACAGTTAGAATATAATTCATAATGTCCACTTCTTCATCTTCGAATGCTATTAGGCAATGTCACACAAATACAGTTTGATCAAAAGTGGTTGACAATGTTTCATGGCGAATTTCATTTGTTCGGGCTTCCATTGTCTGATATTATTCTAATATGATTGAAAATCAGGTTACTATCAAGTTACTTCACGATGTTTCGATTTTTACAATCGAAACGTCGTGAAGTAACTTGATTTCGAATCATATTGGAATCATATCAGACAATGCAATTTCGAAGTAAAATGTACAATTTGATTATTTATATGAAAGTGAAACTCTCAAAGTTCAGTTTTCACAATGAGAAGTCATCATTCAGTCGTTCTAACAGTCAACCTGAAAGACTGTCTCATAATGCGCCAAAAAATAGATAAATATATGGTAGGTTAGATAAACATTTGTAACTGATAACGTAGGTACTTCGTTTAAGGATAGTGAAAAATGTTTGAAATCGCCACTAAAACGGTTCAGTTGACATCGTTTTATATGCTCGTAAATGTCATTGTGAATTTAATTGTATTGATTTGATAGTCTGAACTATGGCAAAAAACCTGTGACGATGTATGGCGGAGTTAGTTGGCTTTCATACGTCTTATTAAGGCTATTCACATTAGTTCAGAAAGTGATTCTCCGGTCTAAGTGAGAAGGTACTACTACATTGATTACCTTATGGAACGAAGAGTTGTAGTGTGAAACTGTCTCCACCATTAGATATCTTTCAGTTCATATATTTTTTCCCATTTTAGAATTTGAAAATTGAAACATATGCAGAAATTTTTTACTTTTTGAATTTTCAACTTGGACTAATTGAATTGAAAAGTCATTTTGAGTTTCAGTCATCCCCTGATGATGCTAACTTGGTGAGCGAATTACGCGTCGAAACACGGTAATTTTCATTTGGTGTACGAAACGTGTCATCAATTGATTCCTTTCATACCAGAAGATTAAATTCTACCTATAAAATTGAATTGATTGGTTTGACTATTCAAACAAGCAGCATAGTTAAATGTATGTGATACCAGAACTTGACAAAAAGGTACACTCGCCGTTAAGGATGGAAACAGTCAAATATCATATGCACGTGCATATCATATGCATAATATGTACGCTTTATAAGTTAGTTGACATTACTATCTGCTTGATACCCTCGACAGAAAAAAAGTAGATCTGTAAGCTTATGCAGATGATCTTGCCATCTAGGCAAGGTCCACGTTGGGAAAAGTAGCTGGTAATAACCTCCAAAGCACGATGGACGTTGTTCAGAGTTGGTGACTGAGGGAGCAGATGTCTGTCAACCCCAGCAGATTTGTGATGATCCCCTACACCAGGAAGAGACAATTTCACGATCTAACGCCACTTTCCCTCAATGGTTAGGTCATTTCATTTGGAACGGAGGTGAAATATCTTAGCATTGTTTTTGATAAAAAACTCACCTGGAACGCTCACTTGGATGAAAATTTCATACAAAGCCAGACTGTTCCTATGGACATGTCGGAGGATTTGTGGTAAAACTTGTCCTGGTGGCCGAGGGCTTTAGAGAAATCGGCCAGGAAAAGCTCTCTGGTTTACACAGACTGGCTTGTCTGGCCATCAGTACTGCCATCAGTACAACACCGTCAGCGGCCATGGAGATCCTTCCAGATCTACCTCCTCTTCACATTTTTCTGGAGAGAGAGGCTAGATGGACTGCATATAGACTTGTGCACATTGTCAATTGGACAAATCGATTTGATGCAGAGTGCAACAGACTGTTAATTAACACTGGAAGTCACAGCATTCGGGAAGTGACCTCTGACTTCATGTCTCCAACTGTCAACTACGAACTGCCTTACTGTTCCTGAGTAGATAGAACTGGATCGTCCAGAAGAAGGAAATATCAAGGGCAGATAGTTGTTCTTTTACAGATGGATCTAAAACACCTTCCTGTTCTAGTGTAGATGTTTTCAATCGCAGACCCAGGATAGAGATATCAATCTGTCTAGGAACCTATGCGACTGTATTTCAAGTGGAAATTTACGCTATTGAATTGTGTGCGGAGAGATTGGAGGAATTCAACCTCATACACAGGTCAATAAAAATATTGGAAGAATCTGGATAAGCGTTATCTTTCAAAACAGATTTAATTAATGATATTTCTTTATTGAGATTCAGTTGAGTTGCATATCATTTTAGCTCTTTTGTAAAGGCAATTTATTATACCTTTTTTAACACTCGCATGATGATTTGATGTATAGTGGAGATATCCAGATTCTTTCATGAATTCAACAATAAATTCAATAGAAAATAAAGAGTCAATTAAAAACCAAACGAACATACAAACAGCTTCACAAATTCAACAACATCCAACTCAACAATTACCGACTCAACATCCAACGACACCGTTTACAACTAACGTTATACCTTACATTCCAAGACTATCTGAAAAAATAAGACGAATTGGAAATAGATATGATGTTAGAACTACTTTCAGAACAAAAAATACACTATTTTTATATTTTTTCAGATTGTGGAAGGTAACCATTACTCAAAAAAAAGGTCGATAAAAAACTGATTTTTTCCTCCACAAAAAATGACTTTCGTTGAATATCTTTGATATGTTCATAAACAGTTTTCAACAGATATCAACAACGCATTCATTTCTCCTGCCATAGAAACCAAGAAAAGCCTACGTGTTCGAAATTGCAAATGAATTGAGGTGCTATTTGATCATACAAAATCATACAACAATCGTATTTTGACCAAAAACTGATATTTTCGTTACTTCCAGGATTGAGAATTATAAAAATATTTAGAATTATAATTGATTAGGGAGAAATAAGCCTTGAAAGAAAGATTACTGCAATACAAACATTTACGAAACGAAAAAATATGAATTTTTATTGTTTTATGGTATCTACCTGTCGAATTTCTTGGGTTGTTTGAATTATATTTTGAAAAAATCGAATCAATTCATAAAAAAGTAACGAGAGGACCGTAATTCAAAATTGATGTCACTGATGATGATAATTATTCCAAATGAAACGCTGAATATATCACATTTGCTATTTTTAGCAAATGTGATATATCCTTGGATTTTGAATTCACTGCTTCATCGATATCTGCAATAAAAAAGACAGGTCCATATTTAAAAAAAAAGATGGTGGCCAAGTTGACACGAAACGTTTTATCGAATATTTATTATTACATCGTCATAGTACACGTCGGATACAATAACACTTTCGTTTTCCATTTTTTGATATTCTCCGAAATAACAATTCCATAAAAAAAAAACGAAAAACTGCATTTTTGGTTTTCCTCGTATAAATCGAGAAGCGCGAGACTCCCCGTAAATTTTCTCCGACCATTGAATTGTTGCCTTGATTTCTCATTAAATCGTCTTCGTATCTGTTACGGTTTAGAATATAGCAATGTTACCACATGAAAAACCGCCTGTATGTACATGAAATTTTTATGAATTTTATTTTCAGGAAATCACATCACATTGCATTTGCATGTATCTTCGAATATATTTTGGAAGCAAACATATCATAGAATCGTGGGGTTTTAAATCAAAGTCAATGAGTTTGTTGTGATGGTAGAAAGACTCAAGTTGAGATATTCTTTAGCCGATCAGTTCGACATAGGTGCTTTGTTCACTCCCTCGAATTAACCGCCGTGTTAGTCGGTGGTCCAAGCCACAGGCTGAACCATCGATTTTCACTTGCTATCGTCCAACCCCTTGTTAGGGATCACACGTAGGTAAGTAATACCTCGTTAATCCTTAACTCGCACAATTTTCGACATCTGAGGGTTGTCGTTCGTAGAGGTGCCACAGCTGGTTGACGGAAAAACATATTTTAAACAGACAGTTTTTTTTTTCACATAACACGACCATGAGCATGAACTCAACCTCTACCCAACATTTGGGCCCGTCAAGTAGTTTATACAACGAGGCCTTGCTCGAATCCTTCCGATTTTTCCAAACTGAAGATGGCCCCAATCAGTCGATCTGTTTAAGATCTAAACACAGTTTTGGAGAGCTTTTATTTTTTTACATCAATAGTAGAAAAATGTCTTCTAGTCGGTGTGACTCATACTGTTGAAATGACATCACGCTACATCATTTAGATACTGTTTGATTTGTCAAATGTCTTCAGCTTATTGTAAGTAGGTACTGATACGCCTGCTGGAGAATTAAAAAAAAAATTAATTTTTCATATACCAGAATGGAAAGTTGAACAATTAGAACGGACATTTCTCCAACTAGAGAGTTTTTCTGTTATCACTAGCCACTACTAGAAACACATTCAAAATGTCATTAATGTAAACTTCCAATTTGATCTTCATAGTGTGTTGTTTGACACTCTTTTCTTATCCAGCTCTATGTGCAATTCGTCGTCTGCAATCTCATTAAACAATCAGGTTTCATCATTAGAATCTCTTCATTTCGAATATGGCATAGAGATCAGTCGAATGCCTGCATTTGTACCAATATACGATAAGAAAAATAAATATTTGGGTAATTCTACATATCTGTTCCACGATTTCATCCAACACCTGGAAAATGAGTGCAGAATAAACAAGAAGGAAATAGTGATATGTGAGTTTGTTTGAATTGCAAGAATGTAATGCAGTTGAGTTGAGAACGGAATAGCAAATACTTTCTGAAGCTCCGAAGGGAATTATTAATAACTTCACAATAAATTAATGTTTGCTGTTCATTACATGTATTGGATTTGTTATTGTGGTGAGTGAAACCTTTTTTCTACTAGCATTTGTATGCTTTCTACATAGTTTTGAATGAAAAAAAAAAACATTTGCCATATAAGAAGAGTGTAACTTCAAAAATAGCCATTTCAGATAGTACAGAAAATAGAACCAATGAAAGCGAAGCATTACTGTGCTTTGCTCAAATCTCGATGCATTATTTTCAGAATATTTTGATTTTTCCATCAACACACTTTTATAAGACATAGTACATGTATTGAAAATATATCAAATTCAGATACACACCATAGTCAGATGATCGCCTAATGAAACACATTTTTTTCTTCATGTTCATTACTGTCATACGTGAAGTCCGGGTTTTTTCAGTAAATAATAACTAGCTTCAGGGACTATCTACACAATTTTCGAGAAATTTGTATCGAAATGCGCAACCTGAATTTTGTCACTATGCAAATGTTTTCAGAGATGTATGATTTGAGTAATATTGCCTGAATATGTCATTTTCATCGTCATATTAGCTTAGTGCAGAAAATGGAGATCAGATCTATCGACTTGAAAATATGTAAAAATATATTCCACTGTGGTCTGTTTTCTCATATTGACGGAATCAACAAATATATTGATTATTCGAAAAAATCATCGATTGAAAAATGAACAGTATTATGCCAAACATCAGAGATAGTCTGGTGCTTGAACAAATATAATGAGAACTGATCATGCAATAATAACGCATTTAATGAAATAGCAATTTCATTAAATGCGTTATCCATGCTCAGAGATAACTGAGAAATTAAAAATCAATATTATTAAACATTAGTTTTGAAGATAAACTTTTATATTCGGGCTCTGGAAAAAAGAAAATATATTCATTGCATTATAGGCATTAGAGCTTGTCGCTACTTCACATGTGCAAGTAAATGAGAATACAATATGTAACATGATCTGAACGTTAGTAATTCTCAAAAAAAACTTATTTATCATTTTATAAAATGAGTAAATTTTGCAATAAATTTTTTTCTAATTATTTTATGAGAAAAAGATATTTTTACTATTAATTTTTTTCACAAATGATCGTAACTCATCTTATCAGCTTACTATTCGTTCATCGTTGTTCGTGACACAAATGCGTTTTGTGATCCGCTTTCATTGTGATTTTGCAGTTAATTTCAATATAAAAATTTCGTTGTTTTTCCTAGTCATTGTGGATAGAGGTACCTTCATCTACAAGTTCTGGTGAGCTGTCTCATCTTCATAATTACGCAATTACATCCGAAATTTCTTCTCACAATTGATATCGAATGAGAATTTTGTTGTAAAAACTATCAACAAGCAATCTTATCGTAGATAGAAGAATCTTGACATACGATAGGACGGTAGTACGGGTGCTTGCTTCCGATTCGCGTTGAGGGTTGTTTTAGATTCCTTTGAAAATGCCTACCCCGAATGATATCACGCTGGTAGATGTGTTCAAGTTGATGTCAAACCTCGATAAAAAAATTGACAAATCACAGGAAACATTAGAATTCATACAGAGTGATCTCTCTACCGTCAATAACAAATTATCCACACTTGAACAGGAAAATACGATATTGGACGGGAAAATAACTCAACTAGTGGACCGATTTCGCAGCAATAACTTGCTCGTATTTGGCCTTCAAGTAGAAGATCCAGTGGATTCACTCTCTTATCTGAGTAACATATTGGACATAGAACTCTGGTTGTCCCACATCGACAATATCTATTACTTTCCGGCTGAAAGTGGTGCGAAAATTCTCAAAATTGAATTATTGGCCTACTGGAAAAAGTTAAAAATCCTTCGCAACATCAATAAATTGAAAGGAACGCAGATTTATGTAGCAAATGATTTGAATCCTCAGGATTAAATCACTCATNTCAGGGAAGAGATTGTCGGGTGATCAGAGGGCGCCACGAACTGGTTGCCGTAAATGCATTTTCTATTTTACTTCTCAAAGTTTTCATTTAAAATGTGATGATTTGAAAATGTACTTAATTTCAAAAAAACTATATTCACTAGAGGGTAACTCTCATTTTCCATGATTTCAAAACAATTTAGTTGGGATAATTTTTTTTCTTTTCAAAAATTCGAAAAACAATAGTCAGGCACTTGGGGATTTTTTGAAGCGATCGGTGCAAGTTGCATGAAAATCGGATAACTGGTTGAGAAACTATAAGTAAAATACGTTTCAAGTGGGCATAGATTCCTCTTAATATTGCTCTCAACTCTGAGCAGGTATGAATATCGTTCATATTCAACAATGAAAAATATATTATTGGCTCTCTCTACCGGGCCCCAAATTTCCCTGCGCACGATTTTTCTGCTGATCTGGAAGAGGTACTATCAGCACTAGTTCCCACTCATGAATACATTCTGTTCGGGGGAGACCTTAACAATGATCTTCTGAATCCCTCATCTCAGGTATGTAAGAACCTGAATGGAATTTTAGAATCCTATGGATTGTCTCATGTTGTTGATGAACCTACTCGTTACAGTGCGACACGAAGTTCTTTGATTGATCTTATAATGTGTTCCAAAGCTTTAGATATCACCAACCGTGCTGTAGTTGATTGTTTCACTTTTTCCTATAACAATCTGGTGGCATGCAAAATTGGTACTGGACAGTTCAAAATTCTTGCCTCCATGCATATATACAGGGATTTCAAAAATTTTTGGTAGATCTAACGAATGCCAATTTAGACTCGATTTATCAAATGAGAAATATAGATGAAAAAACTTTTACACTCAATTCGATTATCCTAAAAACTTTCGATTCCCATGGTTCTCTTAGAACTGTTCGAATTTCGAAAGAAGGGGCTCCATGGTTGACAGCAAACTTGAAGTTCATGATGAAACTGCGTGATAGAGCTTTTACCAGATTCAAAAGAAGCAAGCTCTTCTTCCACTGGAAGAAACCTCACAAACCGCACAATTAAGTTGGAAAAGAAGGCCTACCTGGAGTTCCGTCTCAAAAGTGATAGATATGAATTTTGAAAGGATTTGGCTTCTTTGGGCATGCATAAAAAATACAGTAGAACCATCCCTGAGGAGCTCACTAATGCCAATGATCTCAATACCTCCTTTTGTAATAGCTCTTCACTTACTTCGAGTCCAGGAAATGATATCATATCATTTCTTTCCAACAACTATTCCTTTGATGATCACAGTTTTGCTTTCCATGACAAAACGGAGAATGAGGTGTATAAAATACTTTTCCCAATAAAATCCAATGCGGTTGGTGCCGATAATATGTTAATGTTAGATTCATAAACTTTCGACACGATTAGCCATCAGCTTTTATTGGTTTTGTTAACAAACTTTCATTAACAAACTCAGGTTTCGGACCGACGTTCATAATCTCAATTTGAGATTCAAGAACTTGCTCACTTTCCCTCACCACAAAACCTCCTATTATCGTGGTTCACACATTTTTTGGTTGGATGGAAGAGCTCATGTTGCGATTTCTCCGTAGCATGGTCAGAAATTGAATCCTGCCATTTGATAGGAGGTTATATTTTTGTAAAGCGTATACATATAAGATATAGGCTGCAATTTACAAAGGTTTGTGTAATTTTTGTCATGCCATAATGATAATTATTAAGTAAATCGATACTTTTTTGCTCCCTAGGAGCTACCTTGGCGTCCGCTGTATATATCGTTGGAGTTACATGAAGATAATGTAGCACCTCTGATGTGGTAGCTACATATATGCCAAATACTGAGCCATAAATACAAATAAATTGGATGCACATTTTTGAATATCTGTCAAATTTTCATTAAAATTAAAACCATCAATTGTCGTTTTGAGTATTTAATATTGATAAACTTTGTCTCTTAGTGATTTCGAACCCCAAGGAAAAAAATAGGGGTTTAAAGATCTTATTGAATTTCGTTAGTTTTGAAATTTTGGGTTAATGAAAAAGTATTGTAATCATTTGTTTGAGATGATTCGTCATGACATGTCATGTGACAAACCAAATTCAACGCGAGCGATGACGCGGGCCACAACTAGTCTAAGATATAACCAAAGTACTGTTTCGATTAATTTTTCTAGGTGTCATAACGAAGGTCATATTCCATATTGAGCCCAAATGCTCCAAACACTGTTTTCGTCAAATGGATATTTTGATAAATACCAGGTGACAAACACCTGAAAACATTGTGACCTGAAAACTATTATTTATTATAAACCACTCGACAGGTTTCGATTAATGTGATACATTACTTTGGCAGAATTAACAAATCATCCGATAATGCATCAAACAATAAGCCACAATCCGACAACCCTGTTATGGTCTGAATATTGACAAATGGATCATTGCATCAAAATTGAACATCGAAACTGTTCATGACAATGTGTAACGTTATATTATATCGAATGAAATGAACCTACTATTGATCGAAAAAGGTATTTTATTTCCTCCAGAAACGCCGGTTACAACCATCTGAATATGCTTAAGTATTCAGAAGTTGGTTTCATTCTTTTCTGTCTCTCTCTTGTTCTCACTTGTTCAAAACTGCATTGCCAGCAGTGCAGTTTATATTTTTTTTTACTCAGGACTTAATAATATTATCGTGTGGAATAGCCGTCGAATAGTCCAAGCATATTCTATTGGAGTTGTTTCATTAGACGTTAATGTTACAAAAATAGTTATTGTATTTTTTGAAACGCAATCTTCAGACCGTATGCAAAATTTCATCTGGATGATAATATCGTTATTTTAACACGCTTTTATTAGCTTCACCTTCATGTATGTCTGTTTGTTTGTAACTCTCCTTTCCATTTCATATCGAGATTTGTATTTGACAGAATTAAAAACATTATTGCTTGATCTTTTCGCGGGCACGTGGCGCTGTACGTAACCTCCTTGATATATCAATACTATTGCTTGATCTATTCGCGGGTTGATGGCGCTGTACGTAACCTTCTTGATATATCAACATTATTGCTTGATCAATTCGCGGGCAGATAGCGCTGTACGTAACCTCCTTGATATAATTCG